AACATAACTTACGAAAAGTAACCCGCCAAATTGGCTAGTGATTTGACAGCGTTACCCGCCACAGCTGATTTTTACCCACATTTGGAGGGTGTTAATTTCAAACCCTGATTATGACTAAGTAGTATTAAATTGTGAAGAAATTACAGATCCATCTTTGAAATTTGATTGGTTGATAACTTTTGACAACGTTTAATTCAGGTGCGAAAAGAATGAATATCTAGCGCAAGAGCACAGAGAGATTTGAGAGTGCACAGGACACAGTTTGAGTGAGAGGAGAGACACTTTTTAAGTGCGTGCACTCTCTCCGGGCGAGAGCAGCGTGTATCTGAGCGCGCGTCCGGTTTTGTGTGAGAGCAAAGGAAATCCACGCGCGAGCGGAGAGATTCGCGCTCGCGCATTGTATTAATGTGCTTTCGCGCTACAATAATGCGCTCTCGACATTTGTCAGTAAAATAACGCCATAGTCTATGGCAACTAGTGATAGAGAAACGGAGCTTTTCGAAACTCAGAGTGAGCCAAAGCTTCACAAAGTGATTCAGAGTGTTGGAATCAGCGCACGCTGTCGACTACTGCTGTTCAGAACAGAGTAAATGCAACGAGAACAACAAACACAAACATGTTTAATTACAACTTTTACAAACCAACTGCCAATGTTTTCATGAAAGTGGAATATATTAAATATAACCTACAAATCAATCAATACTAAATATACATCTTAATACAAATGTGAACCTTGTATATAATTTGTGTCCTTTTATTCATTTGAATGTTAGTTTTTTTTTGTTTTGTCATCAGGCCATTTAAGGTCATTAACTCTGACTCTTACTACTGAACTAGGGATCTGATTGAGACACGCACAGAGATTTAGTTTGCATTTATTTTTCTTTCTGTTTATTATTCTCATCTTCAACACACGGATAAACTCAACTGAAATCCACGTGACACACTATTATAAAGATGGTGTTTATTAAAGAGGAGAGTGAAGACATGAAGATTGAAGAAGCATTCAGAATGAAACATGAAGATACTGAGACACAAACAGGTTAGTTTTCATTCTTAAAGCTAAACTCATTTGATCCTTATTAAAATGTGCAGCACCTCAGAATACAGAAAAATCTAGGGATAAGAGGTTTTTGGCTGTTGTTATTCTGGCTTGTCAATTTAATACAAGAACAAACTTGTACATATTTGATATTTTTAAGAAACTATTTTTCTTTTAAGAAAACTTAGAGAGATGTGCAGTCTTGTCAGGTTGTGAATAAATATATGTCATATCGCCCGTGCTTTTCTGGGTGCAGTCGATATATGGCTCCTCTTGACGGCCACGATCGCTGTGTCACGTGTCTGGGCTTTCAGCACACTGAGGCTGCGTTCGTGGATGGTTCATATTCTCATTGTGGGGACATGACCATCTTTGCGTTAAGATCGAGGCTCGATTACCTTAAATAGTATAGAGTCCCCTCTGCCACAACCCAATCTAGTTCCTAGACAGCCTCCTCGGGCCGCACCCCCATCACAAGCACCGCAGCTTCCGGTTGAGCTTGCTGGGCCCTCTCACCGGGATCCCAGCATCTCATTCGGGGCTCATTCGGATGAGCAAATGTCGATCGCCGCATCACAAGGCGGGCTTGAGTCCTCGGGAGATGAGGATTCGGCTGCGTTGCCTCCCTCTGGGCCGCAAGCGTTGGCCACACCCCAATCTAGTTCCTTTTCCAAGCGTAAGAGGGCTACTTTGGCTGGTGGCCAGGGTGATCTGAGGGTTACGGTGTGGGCTTCCCTGACGAGACAGCCTCTTCGGGCTGCACCCCCCTCACAAATACCGCAGCCTGTGGAGCCTCCGGTTGAGCTTGTTGGGCCCTCTCACCAGGATCCCAGCATCTCATTCGGGGCTCAGGAGGATGACCGAATGTCGATCGCCGCATCACAAGGCAGGCTTGAGTCCTCGGGAGATGAGGATTCGGCTGCGTTGCCTCTGTCTGGGAGGCCAGCGTTGCCCGAGTCTGATCCCGAGCTGACGGCCATGCTTTCCCGGGCAGCTGAGAGCATCGGGCTCGAGTGGAGTCCTCCACCCTGTCCCGAACGCTCGAGGCTGGACGATTAGTTCCTGGGGGCTGCACGTGCTGATCGCCAGCGCCCCCCTCCGGTTCCTTTCTTCCCGGAGGTGCATTAGGAAGTTACCAGTTCGTGGAAGGCACCTTTAACTTCCCGAAACCGTTCTGGTGCTACCTCCGCCTTCACTGCCCTCGATGGTGGGGCGGCCAAAGAGTATGCGGGGATGCCCCCAGTGGAGCGCTCGGTTGTGCTGCAATTGTGTCCTCAGAGCGCCTCCACCTGGCGTGGTGGTCCCAAGCTCCCGTCCAAAGCCTGTAAGTTCTCATCCACGCTTGTGGCCAAGGCTTACAGAGCTGCGGGTCAGGCCGCTTCTGCCCTGCACGCCATGGCCACCCTCCAGGTCTACCAGGCCAAGGTGCTCAAAGAGCTGCACGAGGGCAGTGCTGACCCGGAAGTCTTGCAGGAGGCGCGCACTGCTACCGATCTCGCCCTCCGGGTGACGAAGGTCACAACGCGCTCCTTGGGTCAGGTGATGTCCACTTTGGTTGTCCAGGAGCACCACCTATGGCTGAACCTGGCAGACATGAGGGAGTCTGATCGGACTCAACTCCCCGTTCTCTCAAGCTGGCCTCTTCAGCGACGTGGTTGAGAGTTTTGCCCAGCAATTCTCTGCCGCCCAGAAGTAGTCTGAGGCCATAAAATATATTCTGCCCCAGCGGCCCGCTGCTGCCTCCACACTGCCGCCGGCTCAGCCACCTCAGCCTGCTCGTCACCGAGGGCGCCCCCCTGCGGTCTCCTCCACTCCCGCTCAGCCACAGCAGCAGCCTCCACCCCGGCCGCAGCGAGGAGATGGCCACAGAAGGGCGGCGCTGCCTGTCTCTGCCCCTAAACCTGTCAAGTGTCAGGCCAAGCGGTGTTCCTGAGATGGGTGATCCGGATATGGGGAAGTCAGCTCTTCAGGTGATGGTAGCAGGACCACTCCTTCCCCCGGAAGAGGGCCGGGGGAGAATCCTTTGTTTTCAGCCTGTAGTTCCTTTGACCCCGCTGGTTCGGTTTCTGGGAGCCTAGCTACAGCTCTCCAGTCCGTCCCGCTGGCTCATCCGAATGATCAGGCTCGGCTACGTGATTCAATTCGCCAGGCGTCCCCCCAGGTTTCGGGGTATTCGCGCTATGATAGTGGGCAAGGATGCTCCTATCATGCACACGGAGGTCGCGACTCTGCTGTCAAAGTGCGAGATAGAGCCGGTCCCTCCAGCCAACATGAAGTCCGGCTTCTACAGCCCCTACTTCATAGTACCCAAGAAAACAGGTGGGTTACGGCCAATCCTAGACTTTCGTGCCTTGAATCGAGCTCTTCACAGACCTCCGTTCAAGATGTGAACGCCCAAACGCATTTTCGAATGCATTCGTCCGATGGATTGGTTTGCAGCGATCGACCTGAAGGACGCATACTTTCATGTCTCCATTCTTCCTCGACACAGACCGTTTCTTCGGTTTGCTTTCGAGGGGCAGGCATATCAGTACAAAGTTCTCCCATTTGGGTTGGCCCTGTCTCCCCGCGTCTTTACGAAGGTCGCGGAGCGAGGCCTGGCTCCTCTCAGGGAACAAGGTGTCCGTATCCTCAGCTACCTCGATGACTGGCTGATTCTAGCTTACTCTCGAGTGCAGTTGTGCGAGCACAGGGATCTGGTGGCAAAAGTGCTTCTGTATTTTTTTCATATTTATATAATTTAATATAGTTCACTTAATGTATGTCACACAAAGAGTACAGATTTTCTGCAGATATCAACATAACACATTTAATAATCATTTTATACAAGTTCAGTAAAGCAATAAGTGACTTACATTTTAGAGGTAATGCTTGTTTTTGCTCAATTTTGTCAACAAAAATAATTCCAAACAAAGATCACACAGCACTATTTTGCGTCTCTGAGCAATGGACCTTGTTTACTTATTGAATGAATCAGCTTTTTGAACGAATCGGTTGATAAAATAATTCAGTGATTCACTCGTTAACACAGTCAAATGCTTTGTTCCTGAATGAATCAGCCGTTTGAACGAATCTGTTGAATCTGTCTCTGAGCAATGGACGTTGTTTACTTATTGAATGAATCAGCTTTTTGAACGAATCGGTTGATAAAAATAATTCAGTGATTCACTCGTTAACGCAGTCAAATGCTTTGTTCCTGAATGAATCAGCCGTTTGAGCGAATCTTTTTAAATTATTTCAAATATCAGTATTCAACGTTTTATGTTAAAAACAAAACACTAGGCCTATTTATGCATCTGAAACTGCAGTTTAAATGCATCTATGTGAGATACATAAACTGTGTAAATACATCTAAATGCTATTTTAGATGCAGATTCTTGAAATGTTTTCTTGTGTTGGAATGAAAGACACTAATGTCCTGATGAAGTGCTTCTTATTCTTACCCAAAAATACAAAATGGAAGAAAGAGTTAAAACTGAACAAAATATTGCTACTCAAGCTGTGTATGAACAATTTTTATATATTTATTTGCTTCTTTTCCATTTTGCATTTACTTGTACTTTTACTTTCAATATGGCTTATCAGGCTCAAGCCCTGCCATGCCCCCTAGGGGTGAGAGCTCACTCAACTAGGAGTGTGGCTTCCTCCTGGGCGCTGGCACATGGGGCCTCGCTAACAGACATCTGTAGAGCTGCGGGCTGGGCGACACCTAACACATTTGCAAGATTTTATAATCTCCATGTAGAGCCCGTGTCCTCCCATATGTTTGCTGCTTCGGGCCAGTAAACAGGACCTGCTCGGTGTCAATTCGCTTACTGCGCCATTCCACTCCACGGACTGGATGCGTGCGCTATTCTCCTCAGGTGAGTTCCACAGTTCAGAACCCTGGGTTCCTCCAGCACTATTGGTGTCGAGCACTTGCGTGCATGCCCTGTCGGTCAGCCCCTGTGTTAGACTAGGTGCCTCCATGTGTTGTGATTCCCCTCTTGGGCAATCCCACGTGTATTTCCACAGTAAGTCTCTCTCGGCAGCATGTGTCTTTCCCTTGGCAAGCCACCCTTGCCATCTCTGATGTTAAAACATATCCACCCTGCGGGCTGAATACTTCAGAGATTCATATGTATCACCGCTACGCTGATTGATATGTGCTTTGTGCTTTGTAAGACCTCTTACGAGCAGGCAGCCTGTTAGCATACCTCCTGCTGGAATATGCTACCTAGTGTATTCTGTGTTAGGTATAGCCCTTCACTCGTGCTGGCCTCACGACAGGGTGCTATCACTTACGCAGGTCACTGGAAGACAGCCATTGTGGCGTTTTGGAAAGGACCCCATTCGTCAGTCTGTTCTGACGTAACGTCGAACGTGACTGACTGAAAGGGAACGTCTAGGGTTACGTATGTAACCCTCGTTCCCTGAAGGAGGGAATGGAGATGTTACGTCCCTTTGCCACAATTGCTGTTCCGCTGAACGGCTGGGTTACATGGCTCGGCTCCTCAGCGAAGACTTGAATGCGAGTTGCTCGCGTTGCTCTTTATATACCCACACAGTGGGGCAAAGCTTGCGATGCAAATTTCGCATCTCGATCTGTTACCACTCGAAGGTGATTGGGCTCTCGGGTGAGACCCTATTCGGCACTCTGTTCTGACGTAACATCTCCGTTCCGTCCTTCAGGGAACGAGGGTTACATACGTAACCTAGATGTTTTTTTATATGCATTTTTAGAATTTATGTGCATCTTGACGTTTTCATCCAGCATTTTTTATGCATTATCCCAAAATGTGCATAAAAATAGGTGGATGGAAACAGGTAGTGATACTTACCTTCATTAATAATAGGATACTTGGTAATAAGATGCCATTGAAGGATATGTTTCAAATATACAATCTTTATGTTGTTTCTACATTAATTTGGAGATTCAGTGTGAAATTATGATAATATAATTAATTGCA